TCATTGCTAGAGGTAATAAACGCTTTTTCAATGATAGTTTCACGATTGCTGGCAAAGCAGTAAAGCAGTAAAGTTTCTTGGTGTTCAATTTTGTTCACCAAGAGTTTTGAGAAGCATTTGTTTTAGGTTTGGTGTATTCAATGGTGTGTTATTGTGCTATGCTTCGAAGAACACAAGTCAGTAAATACAGTGAATATGTTTTACCCAAGAAGTTTTCGCTCTAAAATCATGAAATACAAGTGTTTTTTTTTTGTATTAATATTATGTGTAAACCAATGATGATGATTGTAGAATATTTCAAAAAGAAGACGAACACAAATTTACTTGCCCTTTGTAGAACCTTATCACTTCAAGATGGACTAATTCGGCATTTTTGATATCAAATTTGAAATCAACAACCCAAATTCATTAAATAAACAAAGTCATTTATATGTATAACTACCCTACCCGCTGTAACGAGCAATACAAATAAACAATACAACAGTGTCTCGTATGCCTCCGCCATGACAGGACGTCAAAGAATTCGGTGTTCTTTATATTTAATCAATCCGTTTCACAAAAACACAACATAGGGATCCCGCCCGTGCGCGATCACATAGTTTAATAACAAAATTCGCAAATAATATATTTATGGCCGCCATCATTCCAAGGTGGAACCACTGTGCATTATTCCGAAACTGCAGGTACAGCACTATTACTTTAACACTAAGGAGATAAATGCTTGAAATAGAAAATAATCGTAAATGAAGAAGAGATCGAAACCAATGGCAATCCTAAATCAGAAAATTTAAAGATTCAAGCCATCAATAGTTTTCTAAATCTATCATTAATGCCTCTTTACTTTTACTCTATATTCTATGAATACCACATCGATTTTTTAAACTAGTTATACAACTTTACTGATTATTTTTTTAAATGCTCGAGATCTACCTTCGAAGTCAAATTTCATCTGTACCGATTCATATCTCTGAAGTTCACTAAAATCCCCGAAGTTCACCTCAAAACTCATACCGACTAGCGTTGGAACTGTACGTGAACACTTTCTCTCTTTTTCTTCAAAATATTCTAAAAACATCCCTGAACCACTTTGAAACTCATCCTGATGCTCCCTGAAATAACGATGGATTGAATAAAGTCTTCACATCTTGAACTCCATAAATCTCGACCGAAATATCCCGGATTAGTTCCTAAAGTCCTATGCAACAACTGTTGAAAACTTGTTTTCTTCTGTTCGGGACTTAAAACCACCACCACTAGTAATTTGTTCTATTGTAGTATTTCCCGTGTCCTTAGTTTGGTGCATGTCGTATTACTCCATCACTATTGAGAAATGATGCAGTATTAGGTTTCAATATAGTTCTCAAGCGCCATCCAATGGCGTGCTCCATTGTCAGTCAAAATTAAGCAACAATATCGGTAATGACCATGCATTAGAACTTTTGAAGCATCTTCGGTATAGCGGATGAATTTTCAAAGTAGGAAAATCCGAATACTTCAACTTAAATTTCCTGGGAAAATCAACCACCCCAAGGGGTAATCAACTCTGCACACTATGCCGAAACACACTTTTCGGTACGATAGGACACACTTTGACAAGTAGGACACAAACAATATAATTTAAAACAGCATCACTGTTGAGTCTTGATCATACATAAAACTGGTAAACCAACGATTCAATCCAGACTTCAAAAAAAAAACAAGGTGGCTTCGAAGATCGTTCGAAAAAAATCTGTAAGTATTCCCTGAATTGTAAATCTCTTCAAATCTAGCAAAACTCTGCCCGTCTCATCCGATTCACATAAGAAAAAAAACGTGATTTCGTCCAGAAGAGCTTCTATTCGTTCACTTCAATCATGTTCATCCACACCATGGCCGGTCGAGAGGGTCTTGTCGATACGGCAGACAAGACGGCTGAAACGGGCTACCTCCAGCGACGGTGGGTCAAAAGAAGTCTGTTATCGTATCATCGAGGAATTGAGATGGGAATTGTGTGTACATCCGAAAAGTTTTGACTACGCTGGGGCTGGGTAATGCTATGAAAATTTTAATAATTGAAATGCCCGCCGGTTGCCTTTGATGATAAATTTGGAAAACCACGCAAACAATCTCATCAATATCAAGTACATGGATCCCATCTATATACCGGGGACGAGCCACGATGAACCCTCACATACTCGACCACATGCTTTCACTGAAGGTTTTACTATTTTGTACTGTCATGGGTATCGATAGTGCACAACGAAGAACCAGAGCAGAATCTTCTGCGATAGATGAGCTGCATTTACAAGTCTGTTATGTAGAATAAACAATAAAGAAAAAAAAACTTTGATTGGTATGGTCATTGATGTTAATTGGTATGGTCTTCAATAGGATATCCAAAGGACTTTATATGAATGTATATAAATTTGGAAAAGTTCCAGTTCTGCTGGGGGATGTCAATACGTATTAACCCCACATATTCCATCAGTCATGGGTCGGTGAACGATTACCTTAGCGCAATAGTATAGGATTTATAGGAACGGATCATTGCAGTAAGATATGCAATTACATTCTATTATACGCGTCCGAAATCAAGCCCGTTCGAGTTCTAAGCTACTCTCGCCTGTTCAAGTTCTAGGTTACTTTACTCGGAAAGAATTTGACAGGCAACAGGTGGAAATTTCCTCCACCATCGATCGCATTCGTTTCTGTACATCTGGAAGAAATCAGCAGTTCAAAGGGACATCGAGCCGGAATCTGGTGGACGGGTCGAATTTATTTGAACACCGTACAAGTTTGATGGCTTTCACTTCCTCGTCCACCTCCCGATCTACTAACGCTCCAATGAGAATGAAGGGAACCTGAATGCTTGCCGTGATCCTTGAGAGAAATTGAGAATGTAAACACAATCACAAAAGTCATAACTTTCGGGGTTGCCAAACTCATGGAATATTGACACCTCGATAAGCACACTTTGATTGACACCTTGATAGGCACGTTCGGCACAGCATGTGGCACAGCTCAATCTCTTGGCACGGATTAAGGTGTTGAGAGTTGAATACCCCTAGAACCACCCCATAATTTTTATATTTTTTCATCGATCCAATAATCATTAAATCTACCTGTGTGCAAAATTTCATAAAATTCCGAGACCCTTCGACCCATACCTGTCCGATAATTTAACCACCACCAGAAGGGGAGGTAATCGATTTATAAATAAATAGCTACGCATGCTTTAGACCAGGCCATTGCAAGAAAGTCTCCTCAGGGCAATTACAATAATTCCTTAACTAATTTGATAAAACAAAGCCATCGCTATTGTATTAAACTACATTCTAAACCATAAAGTTATCTGTCGTGTCCAAACACTCAGCCACACTGCCGTTTGTTGCATCAGCTGTTCGTTCTCAAAAAGAACCAAGGCTATATAGCTCCATTTCCGAGAAGCTAAAACAGGGAAAACATTATTTGAACAGCAATCTGTGCGGAGGATACACAAACGATAAAACCTTTCCTTTATCAGTGATTGTACGTCACCCTCTCTTGACAAGCCTGAATGACGTCGCCCGAGACCGAGTTGGCAATAGGTAGGAAACCCGATCTTATCAAGTATTCCCTCTCCGGTGGCTTGTGATGTACAAAAGTAAATTCAATTAATTTAGCTTGTTTTAGGTGCCTGTTTTCAAAAACTTTCCACCCCAAGGACTCCCAGCTTTCGCTAACGACGTCACGGCATTGCAGTGTTGTGGGGGAAACACATCACGAAAAACGCTACGTCCAGCCGGAGTGCCGCTAAAGTCATTAAAGTTTTTTTTTCGCACCGTAATTTGCATTCAACATGCAAACGTGACGTTGCCGTGGGAATACGATAAGCTCCCCGGGAGGAATTTCTTAAATAGGCGTCTATTTTCCCAGCGGAATAGCAAATGGTTAGGTGAAGGTAGGTTCCTCCTCGTGGTGCATGGCACGCGAAAATTGCGGATGTAGCTCTATAGAGATTGTCACGTCCGGCTGGATTAGAACGTGGTAGTGAAAATCCGAGGAAAATACATAACAAACCGCTGTCAAACTCACATGGACTATACATTTTGAGGTTAGTACCCGGGGAAAATAATAAACAACTTTACAAGGCGGTAGGCCCGTTAGTGTTCGTGCGTTAAACATCACTAATCTCTATACAGTAACCCCTTCATATATGCGGTGGGTGGAACCGTCCACCCACCGAGGTTTCTCGAATGTCCTTCAACCAATTATGCTGATTTTTTTTAACGGTTATAGGTGCCAACTATAAACTAGTTATCACCAGAAAATCATCTCAATTGGTTGAAAGACAGCCTTGAAATACTGATAGGTGGACCGGTACCATCCACCGCATATATGGACGGGTTTCTGTAATAGAGTGCACTGCGAATCTCTGACGTAGGAGGAAGCGCGTTCTGACTGTTTGTATTGGACCGGCTACAATAGACACAGTTATTGTGTACGTAGAACGACACACGAGGGCACATATGATCTATAGAATCCTAAATTGGAGCGGAGAGATACTTGGCTATAAAAGCGGCGTCGTTAATTGTCAGTTAACACGCGCGCGCATGCCTTCGACGAAGTAATTGTTATTTGATGTTAGCAAGCAAACTGCTCGATTAAAGTCCGACTAGCGCCACTCTATTCATTTCAAATAAATGTTCCGTTTTATGACGCTCGTAAAACATCCTTCGTAAATTGTTCCGCTTGTAAACAAATCATTTAAATGGATTTCCATTAGCATTTTCCCCTCTCAATCTCAGTGAAATTTGAAAACAAAAATCGCAATATTTTCATTTTCCGCTCCCTGATTCATTCACAGGTAAAACAATTACCCAGTACTAAATTGTTTATTTGCGTTAATTTCCGTTTCGCGGAAATCAACAATTGCTGGAGGAAAGCTATAATCATCTTCGAAGAACAACGACTGCTGCTGGTGCGGTGCCGGATGAAAATATATATAAATGCAGTGCCACGTCGACACTGAGCATACTTACGATTATAATCCATTTTCGCAGCAGTTCTCCCGTAGTCTATGCCAACAAGCAGCAGAATCTACTCCATTCACCCGAGTCGGTTCGGAATCGACGATGCACAATCACTCCCAGCTGCTGCTGCTGCCACTTGAATTTCCACTGGAAGTGTTCTGATTTCCGAGGAAACACAATTTTCGCCTCACAACTTTGCAAGCTCGGAATGGAAAATGGAATGGTAAGCGTAATGTATTGTTTTACGGATTTCGATTTGAGTGGTGAAAATGATGAAAACACTGCACTTGATTTTTAATTTGACTTCTAACTGGAAAGGGGAGTGAATTTAATTGAAATTCTATGCCCTTACAACTTTGGCTTCGATACGACTGAGTTTCTCTGGGCAGCTATTTTGTGTGAATGAGGATTTTATTCGCCGCGGCCTTTTGAGCCATTTTAGTAACAGGAAAACAACGGTACAATATCTTATACTTGCATTGTGTTTGTAAAGGAGTAATTCGTATATTGCATACTGGCAACTGTTTTGAACGCTATTATTCTGATTACTTTTGGAAAACTAAAGGGTGTCCCACATCAAATTGCATCACGGAAAAACGCTGTAGAAAATTACCCATTGGGTATATTCTCTTGAAAATTTGGGTAGAAGTAGTTTAGTGTGTATTGTTTGAACTGTATTTTTATCGCTGCAGGTTTTGGAAAGTTGAAAAAATGGCGTCACCCGAAAAGCAAAGTCACGTTTTGATTTTGCGCAAGCACCTGGAAAATCCTCAACCCTCTCATCGGGACATCGGAAAACAACTCGGAATCGTGCAGTCAACGGTGAGTAGTGTGATTAAACATTACTACGAAACTCTGAGCATCGAACGGAGTGAGAAATGCGGTCAGAATGGATCAAGGTCACAAACGTGTCGTGAAAGCGTTTAAGCGGAATCCCAATGCATCGGGCAGGGATGTGGCCAAGGCTTCAAATCGTGACGAACGGCAAAATACGGTGGGAAAGTAACGTCCCCGGAAACTGTGCACCCAGAAGCTGACGAAGCCTCTAAGACTTACGTCAAGGTGGACTTCCGGCAGCTTTCGAGGCTACTGTTCTTCACCGCCCAGCACAAGTTTCCGGAGGAAGTAAGGAAGCAGAAACTTTCAAAGTTTGCCAAGAAATACATGTCTGAAGTGTCTGCTTTCTCTGTAGAAGCAACATGAGGGCCCTATGGTTACTTTCGTACTCAAGGACATGAACCCCCCCCCCCCCCCCAACGCACTGGAACTAAGGCCCTTCGAAAAATACTGGGCTATTATGAAGCAAACACTACGGAAGCATCCCATGGAGGTCAAATCTGAGGAAGACATGATGAAAAAGTGAATTTCCGTACAGAAGAAGCTGCAGCCGGATGTTGTACAGACTCTAATGAGTGGAGTTAAGCGTAAGGGGCGAGCGTACGGTTATGGTATTGAAGTTGAATGAAATAAATATGCCAATAGTGTACTAAAGGGTTTGTTTTTTATTGTCTGAAAGTTTGAAAAGAATCGATCAACTAGGAAATTTTCTACAGCGTTTTTTTTCCGTGATGCAATCGTTTATTTGGAAGTGAATAGCTCTTTAATCAGGGTTCAGACCATGACCGGCCTTGTCCATCTTTTCCGTTACGGGGAAAGGATGGATAATGTTGGAGTAACATCTACTTAACGAGAGGTCAGTGACTCACCGATGCCTCCATAGAACTTACGGAGTTGGATAGTTCGGTAGGGTCAGGATTCGCTTAACCTTCCTATTGCATTAGGGCCTTTTTTGACCCGGCGTCACTTTTTAAAAAACTGTAACTTTGGAACTAAATACGATAGAGACTTGAAATTTCCCGATTATTCCTCACATTCGGAAACGAACATTTTGCTGTCAAAAGATTCTTTCCGCAACCTCTAGGAGTGGCGCTACAAAAATAAGTGACACTTCGTGCATTAGCGGGTCAAAAAATATCCAAACTGCAACTCGCTCCCAAAAATCAATGTTTGAACCGATCTATTGGCCTCAAATGAACGGTGAAGGTTCCTAAAATGGCAAGTTGTTCAGGACATTTCCAAAACCTCATGTACTGGAACCGTCCGATGACATTGATGATTTTTCATCAAGAAGTAAATAGACATCATGCCAAGATCCAACAGGTGGATCAAACCATATCTGGATATCCAGAACTAGTTCCGGCAGGGCTCCGAAAAGGACACTTCCAAAACCTCATGTAGTGGTATTGTCCGACGGCTCAAAATTTATGATTTTTATCCTGAAGTAAAAAGACATAATTCCAAGGACCATCAGGTGGGTCTGGCCACATTTAGGTACCCAGAACCGGTTCCGATAAAGCCCCAAAAGGGACAATTCCACAACTTCATGTAGTGGTATCGGCCGACGGTTCAAATTTATGATTTTTCAAACAGAAGTAAATAGATATCATGCCATGGACCAACAGGTGGGTGTGACCACATATGGTTACCCGGAACTGGTTCCAGCAGGCCTCGAAAAAGAACACTTCCAAAGAAAAGTAAGTAGACATCATACCACGAACACACATCCGGATACCCAGAACCGATTCTGACAGGGCCCCAAAAAGGATATTTCCGAAACCTCTTGTACTGGTTCCGTCCGACGGCTCAAAATTTATGATTTTTCATCCAGGAGTAAATAGACATCATATCATGGACCGAAAGGTGAATCTGGTCACATTTGGATAATTACCGAGGGATTATTTGGCCTTGTGCATGCTCTCAAGTCTTCGAGATCATCATTAAGGACGCCTTATTTTCAGGGTGCAGAAACTATATCTCTCCTGATCAAGGTGGTTTCCACCCCAAGTCAAACCAACAAGGGAATTCAAGCGAGTTCCTCAAACGAGTTCTAGGGACAATTCCAAGGAACTTTCTAACTGCTGTATAGTTATAACAAATTCGTAGAAAATTTTGAAGAGAACTCCAGGTGGAGAACTTTCAGTCGAGTATTAGTACAAGACACTAAAGAAGTCTGCACATTGTAGACGAAATACGCGTATCTGTCAAGGATAAGCAAATATGGTAGTGGAATTAAATGGAAATTACTAATCCTTCTCTCTCTCTCATTATGGAATCTAGAGATAGTTTTGAGTAGAATTGCAAGGTTTTTCATAGATGAAATTCAAGGGAAGACCGAAAAAAAACTCTGCTAGAGTTCTAAAGAAAAATCCTTGGTAGCTTTTAATAGAACTATAAACTAGTTCTGAAAAGAACCGCAATGAGACTTCCAACTGGCAATCATTCTGTAAGTAATAATTGAGAACGGATTGACGGATTTTAAAGATCCTCTTTTTTTGTCTCGAGGTCCGACTGATTGATATCAAACAACTAGGCAGTAAGCCGTTTGCTGGGTCAGCTAGATTCAAATAAAAACGAAAGTTAATTCCAAAATTAAATCTGAAAATAATTCCAAGGAGTAATTTAAGAAAAGGCTCAAATTTTGAATATTAATCCAAATGAATTCTGAAGAAAATATCCAATGGGATCAATTTCAGAAGGTATTTCCAATGGAATGCAGGGGCAAATCCGACGGGAGTTCAAGAAGCATTTCAAGGGAAATCCAAGTGGAGCTCCAAGAAAATTTTTGGAGGATTCTCAAACCTGGCCCAATGTTCTTTGATCTGAAAAACGTGTCATTCATCACAGATCCGATGCTCATAAGTTCGGTCCTCATGCCTCCTCGAGTCTTATGACCACAAATTACTACCAGCTGGTGCATGGATGCAGCTGGATGGCGTAGTCTGAGCAAAACAAAAAAAAATGAAATAATGGACCATCTAAAACGGTCATCGACCAATCCGGAAATGGACCCAACTGCAAGATGTGCTTCTGACGTAAATCAACCCTATCAATCGAAATCAGTTCAAATTATGATTTACTATATATGAAAGCTATCTATATTAAAAAAATAAACTTTATAGATAGAAGGTTATTTCTAGACAAAATTAAATGTGCTTCTGTATTTTACAAATAGTCTAATTCTAACCTATATGAGAAGGTGATCAAAATGGACCGATGGAAACCTCACTAATCAAGGGAATGATTGTTTTCTTCGCTCTCCAGAGACAGACCGGCACACTGAGAGATCACGCTTTGTTTGCACACCGTCTCACGATCATATGCTCATCTGCTCCTTTCCGTTGCTACCGTGCATCAATGTTAATATTATTTAATTTGAGCCGCCAGTATTTGTGATGTTTACACTCATACACCACTTCTTGGCGGCCTCAGAAGCGACGGCAACGACGAAAACGACTACGACAGCCGTGACGACATCGTCATCATAATTCTCACTATTATTATTTTTTGTTTTCTTGTATTATGTAATTCAAAACCCGTTGACTTCGTCGTAATTGCTTCAAGGCATTCCGCAACGCAGGCGAAAGGTAAGTACCGGCTCCTATGTATGGTGAATGGTTCATATACACATCCACTGCGGTCCGGCGACAACGTTGACTCTTTATCGATGCACTTAGCTAAATATTAGAATGTTTGCACAGCACTGCACACTAGGACCGATGCTTTCCATATATTCAATCCATTATTGTCGATTTTTTTCCCAGTGTCAGCTTCCGAAACCGATCCGTCCCGATCAATTTCATAGTGAAATTCCATAACTCCCATATATGTATACAGAGACTACTCGTTCGTGTGCAACGTGAACGTCAAAACAAACAGGCGATCAAATCGAGTGGCCGAGATCGATGACGACAACACAATCGTACCGCGAATAGCACGCGCACCAATTACAACGTCAACAGTCGACGACACGACCACGGACGGCCGCCAAGGTACCCTACTCTGTCTATTGTGTGACTGACACCGAGCAGAAGCGGGATTGTGGCTGCTGCTGAACCTGCTGAATGTACGATCCCAACTGACTGCGGGGCTGCGAGTGAATCTATAGAATCACCGCCTACCGACCGACCGACCAGTTAGAACTGCATATTATCAAAAAATGAGCGCAATTTTTTGCCTTCCTCCTCCCCATCAGCCACTAACCCTTTGCACGTTTGCTGCAGGCAGTCAGTGGGAAGTACTTAGTCCCCGTTCCACAATATGCGCTTCGGAGCAGATAGAAGGGAATGAGAGTGAGAGATTACTATCACAAAATGTGAGCGGGCGGTTGTTCGAATCGTTTCGGCGCGAGATGGTGACGATAAGAGCTGTGGTACCTGTGGGTGGTGGTGGGTGGTAAGTAGGAACGCACGGAGGTAGATTCAATTTTCGCCTCCATGCTAAAATTGGAAATAAATTGCCGGAAAGCAAGCACATACTTCCAATCCCTGTTAAGGTAATAATAGAATCTGCCCCTTTTAGCGTTGAGTTTTATCGATACCAGTCGTCAAAGAACTGTACCAGTATGTTACCAAGCTTTTCTCGAGAGCATATCAGCAGGATTTATGATCATTCCTTAAGTAACGATAATTATATTGACTTGACTCATTTGCTGCAAATACACATACATTTTGATAAGTACGACCAGTGAGGAGTTCATTAACCGTATCAGTCCAAATTGTTCTTAAGCTTATTTCAAGGAGTTTGTAACGCTTTTTGTAAGAAATTGGATCTAGGACGTCCACATTTTTCTAGAGTGTTGATCTTTACAACAGAGACGTAGGGTAGAGATCTACTTCTGCATTAGCGCCCATTTTCGTAATATTGAGCACAAACAACGATTTCTACGTGAACGAATCAAACATAGTTTAGTTCAAAAGCTGTAAAACAAAATCCATAAGAACACATAATATACATATTTACATTTAATTTTCTCAAAAACAAAAGAATCGGTCCTAGCGAATCTATATGTTCAACCTTCATCCGAATGGCAAAGTGAATCCAATAACGTTCAATGTGAATAGTGAAAATGAATAGTGAAAGTAAATAGTGAAAGTGAATAGTAAAAGTGTATAGTGAAAGTCAATAGTGAAAGTTAATATTGAAAGTGAACAGTGAAATTCAATAGTGAATGTGAATTATGGGTTCTCATCAAAGTCTTGAACAATGTCCTGAGCTTCGTGGTACCTCACAACATCATGTGGGATATAGCTAGTATATGCTATAAATCTTTGGTTCTTCAAAGTGCCTGAAAACCAGAACTTTAAGTTTTCTGGACTCAACCAAGTATTGAACCATCGTTCAAACCTCGGAGAATGTATGTGCCCGTAGAGCTTCGTTGAGC